ATACTAACTATTTTACCACTTGTAACATCATAGAATCGTTCCAATAGCTGAATAATTGTTGATTTTCCACATCCAGATCCACCTATACTGATCATATTACGTCATTAATATTCAAAAGAATAAACATCTAATTGAAACATACCAACTAGAGCTACATGTTGACCTTATTAGTGAATAAAAATGTAAAACAAATGATTAAATTGAAACTTATCACACTTACTTGGGTTGATATTCAATTGAAATTTATCAAGAATTATAGCTGTTGGTCGAGTTGGATAGATAAATTTGACTTGATCAAATTTGATTTCTCCACGAAAATCAACCTATGAGAATGATATTATATCAATGACATTTGAATGATTAAAAGAAAATAGTTATTTTCTATGTTCTATTACTAATTCTTGTCCTTCAGTAGATGTATTATCGATAGCTGATTTTCGATCAAATAAATCAAAAAATGCTTCGGCAGCTGAAAATGATGCAGCGACGCGGCTAGATCTAGAATGAAGACAAAACAAGAAAAAACCAATCAAAATAGAGATAGAGAGTATTACATCATCCCGAGGACTTTTAGTGCTTGTATTGTAAAAACAGCAAAAGCAAAGACCCTAATAAATTGAAGAGATAACGAAACATCGTCTCGAAATGATCAAATTGTGATTTCAATTACGCTATAATATGGCTTGAGGTGAGTTCATTTTTTTCAATAAGGATGAGAGCACGCCAATACAGAAATGCCAAAGCATATACATCGAGTGTCCAAAATATACTAAATGCCATGGATGATAATAATAAAGGTTTCCAAGATGATCTATGACAAAAAAAGAATGATTAAAAATTTATACATGCATAAAATTCAATTGGCTAACATAAATAGTTTATGAATAAGTTCAGAATATTGTCGTAATACTTCCTTTTCTATTGATATTTGTTTTATTGTACGCATATTGTGAAGAACTTCAGCAGCAAACTGAAGAAATAGAAAATAGAATAAATATAGTGTATTTGATTTCTTAAACAAATCATAATAAAATAATCTTTCTCGACAAATAAAAGATTATTAACTAAAAACTGATCTTACTGCGCTTGCTCGTGTGATTATTTGATCAGATTGTTGATTCCGCCATAGACGTAAGCATACTTCGCCATAGGCGACTAAGCAAAGGATAAACAAAGAACCAAAAATAATCAATGTCAGTTGGCCACTTATGAAACATCCAAAGATAATTCCAAAAAATGATAGAGCAAGAACTTCACAGATGACTCCTAATCGTGTACCAGTCATCTCTTGAACAGCTGATGCGTCAGAAGAAAGGCGAGTACAAATTGCACCAGAACTATTTTCAGGTCGATCAAAATAAGCAACTTCTTGACGAAGAAGACATGCAAAAGCTTTCGAACGAATACGTTCTGTCAATTTTGATCCTGATATGGCAAAAGCAGTATACTATAGAAAAGAGTAAATAAATTATTGATCGAATTCAAAAATAGCATATTTACCTGGAAGAAACGAAGAATAAATAAAAGAGCACCCAAAAGTAAAAAAAGAAAACTAGTAAGCAATATGTGATGACGTCGTTCAGAAGCTAAACAATATTGGAGCGCCTATATAATAAATACATTGACAAAAAACGATGGATACTGTTTATCTGTTTCTACAATATTTTTATACATGGATCACTCACCTCCACTAGATGGACAAGCAAAAATGCAAATAATGGTTGAGCTGCTCCATTAAGTATACATGCTATACAACCAATTAAGATCGTAATCCATTCAGGACTATTCATTGACAAAAGCCTTAAAAAGACAAATCTTTGTCTAAATGATTTTGAACTTTGCTAAAAGAGATATTATCAATAATAGTTTTTATAAATAATTCTAGTGTCATATCTGTACTTTGTTGATATCAAGAATTTGACCATCACTCATTAAACGAGATCGCTCAACTGTTCAAGAAAAACAAAACAAAGAAATATGAAGATTATTAGTATAAGAATATTAACATACGTATTGACTTTTCATCTTCTTCTGTTGCTTTTTGTATGCTCATCATATCATCTTGATCATCATAGATTCCTTCGATTTGTTGACGTTTGACCATTGCTTGATATTTGCCTCCTTCTTTTGCCATCAATGTTTCATGTGTACCTTCTTCAATTATACTTCCTTTATCTAATACATATATTTGATGAGCATTTTGAATTGTAGTCAAACGATGAGCAATTACAATAGTTGTACGACCTATATAAAATGTTATATATCAATACCATAAGCAAAAAAAAACAATTGTTACCATGGCATGC